GTATACTCATTGTATTTCTTACAAATGTGACACAAGGCCAAAAGGAGATATAAGCAGAGACTGGTGAACATTTATTTTTATTTTTTTAGTGTCATGCGTGATACGCACTTAGGCGCTCATGTATCTTTCGATACATGACTGACGAGGCAAATTTTTCCCGCAGTAGGTTGCCATTTCTTTCTACGATAGACCAGTTGCCAGCTAAGGTTATAGAACCCGGTCTGTCCTGCTATGTACCCATAGCTGCGGAGAGAAGAAGAGGATTCATACCTTTCACAAGGGTCAGTCAGTTATGTGCCATGTATAATACGCGTTTAGGCGCTCATTTATCTTTCGATACATCACTGACGAAGCAGATTTTCCCGCAGTAGGTAGCCATTTCTTTCTGCGTTAGACCAGTTGCCATCCAATGCTACAGAATCCGGTCTAACCTGCTATTTAATCCTAGATGAATGAGAGGATTCATACACTTAAATAGCTCCTATGAATATTTTCTGCGTAAATACATATATATATATATATATACATATATATGGTGGACTCTCCCGGTGTATTCAACGTATGAGGTTCATGCAGATTATTTTCTAGGAAACGAGAGCCCAGGCACCAGTGGTGAAGGTTATGTGCAGGCTTTTTGATGGCCGTAATACAGAGACCTGGTGCACCATGTGTCACAAGGTCCCCAAATGACCTTCCCCAGATTTTGAATTCAGATTTGTCATTCTTCTAGACCAGTTGCCATCCAAGGCTACAGAATCCAATCTTTCCTGTATATTTGCCTATAGAAGAGGATTATTACCTTTCCCAATGGTATTAGCACCTAAGTGGATGTAATGGAATCGACTGGAATTCGAACCCGGCTCTCCGATTGCCTCAATCCGAGCCGCTATCCATTACTCCTCCGGGAAAATCTAGAAGAGGATTCATACCTTTCCCAAGGGTATTAGCACGTAAGTGAATGTAATGGATTCGACTGGAATTCGAACTCGGCTCACCGGTTCATCAATCCGAGCCGCAATCCATTACTCCTCCGGGAAAATCTAGAAGAGGATTGATACCTTTCCCAAGGGTATTAGCACGTAAGTGAATGTAATGGAGTCGACTGGAATTCGAACTCGGCTGTACGATTCCTCAATCCGGGACGCTATCCATCATTCCACTGTAAAACTTACTCATTCACCACAATAACTTATCCATCAATTTCAATCTGACAGATATCACAATACCACATATTCACAGAGGACCTACAAAAAGCCTCATGCCAAAAATTCATTTATCTACACAATGAACAATTGTCTTTTCATTTTTGTTTGCTGTTTTCTTATAACAAATACATAAATATATAATGATATGCAATAAGTGGGTGATGAACCCAAAAACGAAAATAAAATATAACAAAACTAAAAAATAAGCTATGTTGGTAGGACCAGCCCAAACGACAAAAATAAGAGAGGTCGCTGTGTTCTACAAATAAGCACAAATAAGAAGCTCGCTCATGAACAGAGAGGCAAGGACAAAATAAATTTTGGTGTGAGAAAATCAAACGCTGGCCCATGATCACAAATGTGACACAAAGCAAAAATGGGAAGTGGAAAGAAACTGATCGATATTAACTATCCTAAACCTTACAATTTAGTCATTCACCACAAGAACTCATCCATCACCATTCAGTCCGAAATAAGCCCCAATACCACATATTCACAGGAAACCTACAAAAAAACAAAAACAAAAAAAATAGGCTATAAAAATTCCATACACTATTTACATTATTCGGATTATTTTCCTCACCTTTGTCGCCATATTTATTACAACGTTTCAGCCGTTGTACGCTCCGGCCTTCTTCAGGTGTTTGGAATGTCGAACTGAACCCTTTATTTCGCTCACTGGGGTAGATGGTTTTAGTTCCACGTACCATGTTTAATGTTAATTTCCCTCTACAAGTTCTCCACTGCCTTAACCAGGTATGGAACTCACACTCTTTCCTGTCACTGGATCTAACTAACGCTTTTATCCAATGTGCCATGTGTCCTTGTGTGCTTCATAACGTACAAAAAATATGCTTTGCTTTTTTCTTTTTTTTTTTTTTTTAGATATTTAAAAATTTAATAATATGAAATGAAGGGGGAAGGGATTAGCCCCCAAAACGGAAGTAACAAAACATTCAAAATAAAATATATTAGTAGGATCCGCCCACC